AAGAGGACTCAGATCGGCACGAAGCTGACTCCCATAGAAAAACAAGAGCTCGTGGGCTTCCTAAAAGCAAACAAGGATGTGTTTGCATGGACCTCGGCTGACATGCCTGGAATCCCAACTTCGGTGGCAGTACACAAACTCAGCATTAGTCCTTTGAGGAAGCTAGTGGCACAGAAGAGACGGCTTTTCGGGGGGGAAAGACTCACAGCTAGTAAGGAGGAAGTGAAGAAGCTCTTGCAAGCAGGGTTCATCAGGAGAGTAGATTACTGCGAATGGATTGCCAACCCTGTCATGGTAAAGAAGTCAAACGGCAAGTGGCGCATGTGCATCGATTATACCAACCTCAACGATGCCTGCCCTGAAGACTGTCATCCCATGCTTAGCATAGATAAGCTGGTAGAGGCCGCCTCAGGGAATGAGAGGCTAAGCCTCTTGTATGCCTACTCGGGATATCACCAAGTCCGCATGGCACCCGAGGACGAGGTGAAAACCTCATTTTATGCCGGAGATGAAATATACTGCTATGTGATGATGCCATTTGGGCTCAAAAATGCAGGAGCAACATACCAGAAAATTGTCACAATCGTGTTTCGGGCTCAAATTGGCAGAAACCTAGAGGTCTATGTAGATGATATTGTTGTCAAAAGTTCTCGAGCAGAAGACCACTTAACTGACTTGACTGAGACGTTTAACAACCTTAGAAGTTGTAGCATGAAGTTGAATCCAGCAAAGTGCACTTTCGGCGTTGAATTAGGCAAGTTTCTGGGTTTCATGGTTTCCAGAAGGGGGATAGAGGTCAACCCTGAGAAGATAAAAGCAATAGAAGAAATGAAATCGCCGAGGTCAACCAAGGACGTGCAACGCCTGGTAGGGAGAATAGCAGCACTGCACAGATTTATCTCTAAATCAACAGATAAGTGTTTGCCTTTCTTTAAGGTCTTGAGAACTGCAGCTCAGAAGGATGAAACGGGAAAACCCCAGAAGTTCAACTGGACGACGGAGTGTCAAGTGGCTTTTGACGAGCTCAAAGCCTACCTCAGCTCATCGCCTCTGCTGACTAAGGCTTAGGAAGGTGAAATCCTTTATCTTTACCTCGGAGTATTTGATACTGCTGTCAGTTCTGTCTTGGTTAGGGAAATGGGGAAACAACAGCAACTAGTATACTATGCTAGTAAGGTGCTGCAGGGAGCTGAGCAGAGGTACCCAATAGTAGAGAAAGCAGCCCTAGCAGTTGTTGTTACTGCAAGGAAGTTGAGGCCATACTTCTAATCCCATCCTATTATTGTGATGACTGATTAGCCTCTAAGACAAATTTTGCAGAAACCAGAATGCTTCGGGAGACTCATTAAATGGGCAGTAGAGCTGAGAGAGTTTCAGATAGCATTCCAGCAAAGGTCGGCAATCCGAGCTCAAGCTTTGGTAGATTTCGTGGTCGAATACACTTCTAATCAGGTGGAACCGAATTCTGAGGTGGAAACATGGACCCTGTATGTCGATGGATCATCTAATAGCAAGGGTTCAGGAGCTGGAGCAGTATTAACTGGACCTGACAGCTTCTGGAGTAGACACGCTTTGAAGTTCAACTTCGAGGCCACAAACAACGTGGCCGAGTACAGAGCCCTCCTCCTGGGAATGCGTTTGGCGGCCGAGCTCAAAGTCAAACGCCTGCAGATTTACAGTGACTCACAGCTGGTAGTTAACCAAATCAATTCTATGTGCGAAGTCATTGATCCCATCCTGGCAAAGTATGTGGCCGCAGTTTCTGAGCTGAAAAACCGTTTTGAGAAATTCCAGCTTACAAAGATTCCTAGAGCAGAAAATGAGCATGCAGATTCTTTGTTGAAGTTAGCATCTGAGAACTCCAGGGAAGCAAAGTCTATGTACATCGAGATACTGAATGAACCAAGCTTCCAGACGTCGGGGGTGATGGAGATCAGCACTGACCCAGATGCTCTGAGTTGGACAGACCCCATTCGGGAGTACCTCCTCAATGGTACCGTCCCGGGGGACAAACAGGAAGAGATGAAGTTGCGAAGAAAAGCCTCTCGGTACACCCTGGTTGGCGATATTCTGTACAAGAGGTCCTACTCGTTACCTCTTCTCAAATGCTTGACACCATATGAAGCAGAGTATGCACTAAGAGAAGTACACGAGGGGGTATGTGGAAGTCACGTGGGAGCCCGGACTCTGGCACATAAGGTACTTCGACAAGGGTACTATTGGCCTAACATGCAAAAAGATGTAAAGAAATTCGTGTAGAAATGCCAGAAATGTCAGTTCTTCGCCCACCTTACCCATCAGCCAACCGAAGAACTCACCAGCATGATTGCACCCTGGCCTTTTTCTCAATGGGGAATAGACCTCCTGGGCCCCTTTGTCAAAGCAATAGGAGGAGCAACGCATTTAGTGGTTGTTGTTGATTACTTCACCAAGTGGGTAGAAGCCAAACCTCTCTCTTGTCTAACTTCGAGAAGAATTGAGGATTTCCTCTTCAGCTCAGTCATCTGTAGATATGGGATACCAAACCAGATTATTGCTGACAACGGCCCCCAGTTCAATTGTAACTCCTTCAGGGACTTCTGCTCCAGCTATGGGATTAAGTTGGTGTTCACTTCCGTCTATCATCCTGAGGCCAATGGAATGGTTGAATCAGTCAACAAAGCCATCTTGGAAGGAATCAAGCCAAGGTTAGATCAGCTGAAAACAAAGTGGGTAGATGAACTCAACAACGTCCTGTGGGCCTACCGGACAACAAGCCGAACTGCCACAGGTATGTCCCTCACTTTGATTCTCTTTTCTATTACCTTATTCACAGTTACAAATTACCCTTTAAAGTAAATCCTAAAGTTATAGTCTCCTGCAAATAGGCGAAACGCCCTACCACTTAGCCTTCGGCACAGAGGCAGTCATTCCTGTCAAAATTGGTGTCCCAAGCCTAAGGATCAATTGCTTCGAACCAGTTCAAAATGAACGTCTACTAAGGGAAAACCTTGATTTCCTAGACGAAGTCCGAGAGCAATCCCGACTTCGGACTCTAGCATACAAACAAAGAATAGCCAACCTTTACAATAAACGGGTCCGACCTCGAAACTTCAAAGTCGGTGACCTCGTCCTCAGAAAAGTTGGGCTCACAGGGTTCGAGACCTGATATGGCAAGCTAGCACCAAACTGGGAAGGCCCTTACATTGTAACTGAGGTCTTGCACCCCGGAGCATACATTCTTTAAGATGCCGAGGGCAAAAGGGTGCCTAGAGTTTGGAACGTCAACAATCTTAAAAAATTTCACCCTTGAAGGTTCCTTTCTTTGTTTTGTGTTAGGCATCTTTTTAAATAACATTCCAATACAATTGAAGACGACGTCAATTAGGGACGAAGTCAATTCCACTTCTTCAAACTTAATTGTATTAACAATGTTATTTAAACCTCTCTTATTTCGGATCACATCCAAACGCAATAAAAAAGAATCAAATTCATTCCATTAAATTCTGATCGTTTACAAAGAATATCTCTCAA